TGCGCCCAAAATTCTTTTTCACGTAACATCATGAGAATTACCATTAGAGCTATGTGCCAAAAACGTAATCACCTCACCGAACAAATCCTACATTGCCGCTCTGAACTTTCCAAAATCTGTCCAGCAGTTTTATTACAATCTATCCTCGCCAAAATCCAGGAAACTCAGAATTCGAAACTTTTCGATCATTTGAACCAAATTGAGGCCCAAAAATTTGACCAACTTATCGGTCCCCAAATCGCTAACCACTCATCACCAGAAAACCTCAAAACTGTAGTTACCATTCCAGAAAACCTCTCACTTTCCGATTCAGAAAAATCCGTCCTTATTAAGGGCTTAAATTTCGTCCCCATTTCTAAAACAAGGGAGGAATTCTCAATTAAACAAGACGTAGAAAAATTCCTTCGCTGCGTTCACTTAAAAGCCTTTTTTCACGACAAAGAGGATGATTCTAACACCTAGAACTAAGACACTTTCGAAACACTTCCGACTCGAAAGTCTAAATGGACTCCCCAGAGGGCCAGTTCGCATCATTAGACTTTTTTATCAAAAAATTCCGCCACGATATCAACAAACTTAATTTCAATCGTAGTACCAAATTTTATGATCTCTCTTCTGAAGAGTGGTCCGCTCTAAAAAGTCTTAGAAAACGCAAAGACATAGTTATCAAAGCGGCCGATAAGGGCGGCTCAGTCGTTGTTTGGCGCACCGACCTCTACCAAAAAGAAGCTTTGCGGCAACTTTCTGACTCTTTTTATCAAAAGGTTGACAAAGACCTCACTGCCAGTCATCAAAACACCGTCAAGAATACGATCAACCAACTCATAACTAAACATGAATTGCAGGCCACAGAAAAAAATCTCATCATAACCACTCCTAGAACTTCTTGTATTTACTTTGTACCTAAAATTCACAAACCTAACAACCCAGGTCGGCCCATCGTCTCGGCTTGCAGTTGCCCTACCGAACTTATCTCGAGCTATCTAGACAAAATTATGGCTCCCATCATCAAAATTTTACCATCATATATTATAGATAGCCAACACGCTCTTCAAATTTTTCGCGACTTTAATTTCCTTGGCCAAAACAAACTTCTTTTCACCATGGATATTACGTCTCTTTACACTGTCTTTCTTAATAGCGAAGGCCTTCTGGCCCTTAAACATTTTTTTGATCAACGTACTGTTAAGGAACCTAAATCTGAAACACTACTACGCTTAGCCGAACTAGTGCTCACACTCAATTGTTTTTCCCTCGGGGACAACTTCTTCAAACGAACCAATGGTGTAGCCATGGGCACCAAAATCGGACCTAGCTATGCCAATCTTTTTGTAGGTTTTGTCGAACACCAATTTTTCAGCCAATACAACGGGTCCAAACCTGAACTCTACGGTCGCTACATCGACGACTGTATCGACGCTACCTCCTCTACCAGAGAGGAGCTGACTCAATTCATAACCGCAGTCAATTATTTTCACCCGGCTCTGAAATATACCTGTATATATATATTCTTTATCCTTTTTAGACATCAAAGTTTTAATTGAAGGCAACGATTTAAGCACTAGTGTGTATTATAAACCTACAGACTCGCATAATTACTTGTTATATTCGTCTTCGCATCCATCTCACGTTAAGAATTACATTCCTTTTTCTCAGTTTCTAAGACTTCATCGTTTATGTAGTGATGACTCTGATTTCCACCATAAATCAGAGTCAATGCGCCAGTTTTTCGATAAACGTGGTTACCCTGTTTCTGTCATTCAAGTGG